GCCAGGCCCAGACCATTATTAAAGTGTCGAATTCTCTGCCAAATAATTTTAAGTAAACGAAAGCATTTGGGATTGCTTTCCTTACTTTGTTTGGATCATCCTAAGTTAATGTATGAGTTGTTTTTTCTAAAGTAAAACCTCAGTATTCAGGTTAAATTGCCGTGTTGGCACTTTGCGATAAATAAGTGGGTTTTGGGTCGCAGTTTGGGCACTCGGTCTCTAAAAGGTTCGCCATCACTGCCATAGAGCTTCCAGTGATTCCTGTCCAGAGGGGCTCGGTGCCCTCTAGTGCTGGCAGCAGTGCTGGAACGCAGCCGTGGAGCCACCAACCACGAGGCTGGAATGGGGATCAAAGGGCCCAAGGGCAGAAGATCAGGTATGACTGCAGGGCAGGCTGAGAAAAAATTAAATCCAGGGCCAGTTCCGGACCATTTCCAGGCAGCAGACCCGACTCCGCAGGAAAGAATGGCCATTTGGGATTTACAGGGCTGACGTTCCACCCACCAGCTGGGATCCCTCCCTTACACCCCCCCCCCCCCTTCCCCCCCCCCCCCCCATTTAGTTCCCCTATCCAAAAGGACGGCTGGCTGTGCCGGGGGTAGGGGAGAAAATGCAACAAGGCCCACCCTGCTAAAAGTCGAAGGAAAACAAGAGGAGGAGGGGAAACAGCGTACATGGAATGGGACAAAGCACAAAAACCGCTGGCTGAAATCACTAAAGGTGAACAAAAAATAAAAGGTTTCAATAACACAATAACCATATAACTAGATCCAGCCAAGGTGTTCCTGTGTCGGGTAACGCTGTGTTCTCCCCGCTCCCCTGGACTGCGCTTCAGCGCTTCGGGTCTCTTCCCGTTATCTCTGCCGTGGCCTTGGAGACTTGCTCGCCTGTCTTGCTGTTTCCCGCTGGGAGCTACGGGCCGTTTTCCTAGGCGCGCTTCCTGCTTATTGGCTCATACCCAGGGGTCATTTCCTGCGGGAGCGCCCAGCAGCGGAGCTCCGGCAGTAAGGAGCCCAGGGGGCGGGCACATGCAGCAAGCCCCGCCCCCTGCTCCCAGCAGCCCTCAGTTGGGCCGCGAGGAGCAAGCAGCAGCCAGGTAAGTTGCAGAGCACCCCCCCCCGCCCGCAGATACAAACTCTCCCTCCTCTGTGAGCAGATCTGCGCGTTCCCCCCCCCCCCCCCCATAGCTAGCAATGCAAAACAGTCCAGTGGCACCTTTAAGATCAAGTTTTATTCAGGTACAAGCTCTCCTTCCTCTGTGAGGACAGATCTGCACCACCACCCCCCAAAATAGGTAGCAATCCAAAACTGTCCGATCCCGTGGAGCCTGAGCGGTGGGTGTTGCCTTCTGACACACTTCCGGTGATGTCAGAGGGTGTGTCACATGCAAATGTTATGCTAATGAGTTATGCTGATGAGCTCCTGCACCTCTTTTTCTACGAAATGACCCCTGCTCATACCTATCAGGGGGACTTGTATGAACTGGGTTAGGGTTCCCACCTAACCCCTCATTCCTGACACAAATTGTGTCTAATGATGACCCGAGTCCCTTTCTTGATGAACCGAACCTTAATAAAGGAATGTTGTTGAGCTTCATTGACTTGGGAGTCTGACATCTTGTAAGAAACAGCGGCAGTGCAGAGAAGTCCCAAGAAATTTCAATGTGACTCACTCCTCTTGTATTGAAATTCCATAGTGAGGCACATTGAATACTTTGAGGACTTGACTTCCCTGCACTACTGTTGTTTCTTACAAGAACGCCTTGGCTTGGTCTAGTTATATGGTTATTGTGTTATTGAATTAAATATTATTTTTATACTTTTTTTTTTTGGTCACCTTTAGTGATTTCAGCCAGCGGTTTTGGTGCTTTGTACCACCTGCTAAAAGTTGCAGCAGCTACGAGAAAAGGTGCGGTTTCTCTGAACTGTGGAAACTTACCGTATTTCATCATCGGTGAGACGATGGCGCGCGGAATGTTGGCCCTCGACGAGGCTGATTTGGGGAGGAGGTCCGCTGCCTCTGCCATGGCCACATCTGAATGGGGGGTGTTCAACAGGCCTGCTTTGTAATCTGCCAAAAACAGGTGAATGCAAAGCCCCATCCCCCCAGTGTTAATCAGGGTTCATACTTATGTTGTCTCACCATGCAAATACTGTGCGTGGATTTTATTTCTACGTTTTAATGAGGAGTTCTAAATGTATGTCACTGTGATCTAAAACGCAGGCCTGTAGCGAAAGGAAGAGGAAAAGGCTGGGATGCGGGAGTGAAGTGTGTTACGGTGGGATGGTACAGGGGTCCCAAATGTGGTGCCAACAACAGGGCAGAGAAGCCGAGGCCTTCATAAGAACATCAGAAGAGCCCTGCTGGATCAGACCAGTGAGGGTCCATCTGGTCCAGCATCCCATCTCACACTGTGGCCAACCAGTTCCCCTGGAGGGCCAACAACAAGGCATAGAGGCCGAGGCCTTCATAAGAACATCAGAAGAGCCCTGCTGGGTCAGACCAGTGAGGGTCCATCCAGTCCAGCATCCTGTCTCACACTGTGGCCAACCAGTTCCCCTGGAGGGCCAACAACAGGGCATAGAGGCCGAGGCCTTCATAAGAACATCAGAAGAGCCCTGCTGGATCAGACCAGGGGTCCATCCAGTCCAGCATCAATTCTCACACAGTGGCCAGTCAGTTCCTCTGAAGGGCCCACAACAGGGCAGAAACAGAAGAGCCCTGCTGGATCAGAGCCAGGGGTCCATCCAGTCCAGCATCACGTCTCACACAGTGGCCAGTCAGTTCCTCTGGAGGGCCAACAACAGGGCAGAGAGGTCGAAACCTTCCCCTGATGTTGCCTCCTGGCTTTGGGATTCAGAGGTTTAGTACTTCTGAATGGGGAGGTTCCCCTCAGTCACCATGACTGGGAGCCACTGATATACTAATCCTTTGTGAATCTTAGTAGCCATCGATGGACCTCTCCTCCATAAACCTACCTAGCCCCCCTTTAAAGCTCTCTATCTATCCCTGTGGCCATCACTTTTGTCACTTCTGATCACTGCTGAGAGGCACCTTTACAGAGGTTACAAGTATAATGGGACACATTATAGAGAAAATCGTTACAAATTCCGAATAAATCACTGTTCCTAGCAAGAGCCTTGCAGCTGTCCTGGTTTCCTGAAGCGCCCCCAAAATGGCGGAAGAAGATGAAGAGGAGGAGGTTGGATTTATACCCCGCCCTTCACTACTCGAAGGAGTCTCAGAGCGGCTTACAAACTCCTTTCCCTTCCCCTCCCTCCCCACAACGGACACCCTGTGAGGCAGGTGGGGCTGAGAGAGCTCTGAGAGAAACTGCTCTTTTTCAAGGACACCTCTGAGAGAACTTGTGATTGACCCAAGGTCACACCAGCAGCTGCATGTGGAGGAGTGGGGAATCAAACCCTGTTCTCCCAGATTAGAGTCCGCGCACTTAACCACGACACCATACCGGCTTCTTGCAGACCTGCTCCCACCTTCCGACTAGCTGCCTACTGTTTTTCCCATTATTATTATTCTTGTTGCTGTCGTCGTTGTTGTCACCCACAAGGAGGAGGAGGAGAAGAGATTGGATTTATACCCTGCCCTTCACTCGGACTCTCAGAGCGGCTTACCAACTCCTTCCCCTCCTCACAACAGACACCCTGTGAGGTAGGTGGGGCCGAGAGAGCTC